CATCGCTTTCTCAGCTCTCTCGAGCCTTTTGACCTCTTCTTCTTTCAATCTTTCTTGATACGCTTCTGGATCTTCCTCCTTTTTCATCGGTTTTGGATCTGGAACCTTATCTTCAAGCGCGTCCTTCAATCCCATGATCGAAAGATGAGCTAACATTCGTTTCTTCCACATCGAGAAATCTCCCTGACCATCGAAGATCGCTACTTTGATCTTCGTCATCGAATCCTCCATTGAGCTTCAAACCGTGCTCTGATACCACTTTGTAAGGATCAATTAACTCAGAAACAGGATTGAGTAACCTTTAGGTCTCGATTGTAAGCTTACTTAAGAAGCAAGTAACCAAAGAAAAACAGAGGCACACGAGAATTATACGAGTTCGGGTCCTCAAGTATTGAGTAACAACCCTACGTCTCGACTGATGAAAACACCAGTAATCACTATGATCTTTAAACGAATAATCCCTCTCTAGCTCCCACCTTAATTATGATTACTAGAGAGAGGGGATGATAACCACATATGCCCTTTATAGCTCAGGGACTAATCACAACATTAAGCCGACTTAAACTAAATCATAAACCTTAAGCTTATCCACTATTTGAAGTTATCTTCTACTCGAACCGGTTAAACCGTCTTCTCCAAATAATTAGCTTAATTGATTACTCCTGTCTTGGTTTAAGCTTGACCGAGATTGTATTCATCACCAAAGCATTACAGGTTAACCTATTTGAAGCAATTAGCTTGATTTCTTTCGTTGGTGCTATTGTGTTCTCGAATTCGAAGGGAAACTAGTTGAAATCAAGCAATTACAAAGGTTTCTCCTTTTTAATGTATACTTTGCTGCAGTGGTCACCTTTGATAGAGGTTGGCAATACTGAACTACCTGTTGAGTCTTATTATTAAAAGCCTAATGGCCTAATTAAGAATGCAAATCTGAATAAGAAATGGGCTTCGGCCTTGTGTTATTAAATAAAGAAATGAACTTTGTCCCACATCGGCTGTGAGGACAAGAAGTGAGCAAGATATATATGTTATCACATTTAAGTTTATTAAACAGCTTGGAGAGAGAGGATGGCTCCCATGCGCGCGCCGCCGTCCGGCCGGCTCGGGCTTCGGTTGTCGGGCGATAAGAAGTTATTTTATTGGACCAAGTTAAGCTCAACGTTTTGCCATTTAAACTTCAAAAAACAGCATGCAATTTTAGTTAAAATGACAAATAGTTTGTTTAACAAATAAAAAAACGTCACGTTGTTTATTCCTCGGCATATATTTTAATAAAAGAGAGAGAGAGAGAGAGCGAGTCTTGGGGGATAAGTTTTCGTAACGAGCACACGTTACGGGAAGTTGCTCCTCGTCTTCTCTTTAAATATTGTCTCTCCTCTTTCTTCATTCTTAACTTTTACATGCAAGAAAAAAACCAGCAAATCTCTCAGAGTAAGTTTAAAGAGTGTTTAGTAGAAATATTAGTTCGTCAGAGACGTTCACGAGTGAGAGTGTGAATCGTCTATCATGGTTTTATCCTAGGACTCTATTCGTACAAGTCCGTCTCACTTCGGAGCGAATATTAAGAGTTAAGGAAATAGATTCGTCTCGACTCTATGCCGGTTTTATAAAACGTTTTCGTAATCGGTTTCATATCGTCTTTCTAATCGTTTATTTACTTAACATCGTTTTAATTTATATCGCTTCTGTCAATTCGATTTTCCGGCTCCTACACTACCTTCTGTACTTTTCGAGAGGTATATTACAGCAAGCGGTGAAGACACAGGTTTATGTGGGATTTTCCAGAGATTCGGCGGACTTGGGCTTCCGTGGACAATTTTCTGTTTATGTAGCATTTCGACAAAAAGTAAAGTTGGCTTTTTAGTAATTTTAGTTTGAGGGGAATTTTAAAGCTTGAGATGCCTCTTTTTCATAGTTTCTGCTTTGTTAATTAGGGATGGGCAATGTCAGGCTATTTGTGCGGTTAGTTTAGCCAAATATAGACCTGGTGTTTTTGTTGAAGCTATTCCGAACAGAGGTATTAGCTTCGCCTCCACATTCATCTTTGTTATCATCATCGTATTTGGTTTCTTTAGTTCTTTCTCTGAGACAGGCCCGGCCCAGGGCACAGGCAAAGGAAACAATGGCTTAGGGCCCAAAAAAATTTGTAGACATTTTAGGTTTAAACCTTTAAAAAAAAAAAAAAAAAATTACAAAGGAAAAGGGCCCATTTTTTTTGATTGGAATAGGGCCTTTGGTGAGCTTGGGCCGGCCCTGCTCTGAGATGTTGTAAAATGGCAAGGTCGTGTTTTTCCTGATGTGCTCGGGGAAGTCGAAAAGTCTGGATCCTCTTTTGAAGAGTTGCTAGCATTTCTTGACACGATTGGATATAAAGAGATGGGAACTCAACTTCTTGTATCGCTTTCCCTCAAAATGTACAAAGAAGGTGGCTGGTTTTATACAACCTCTAGTTCCATCCAAGTCACTGAATTCACGGTGAGAGAACTAACCTATGCATAATATAGAAGATAACACACATACAAACACTAAACAAGGGAATCAGTTTTTGCAGATCAAAGATACTAACATGCTCAAGTTTTTCGAGAACAATGCAAGCTGTTACTGTCAAATTCAGAATGGAACTTCCCAGTTACAACACTATGGAACCATACCCGCATATGAACGAGCACTGCCTGTCTATGCGTCCAAAGTACCATAAACCAAAGAACTGCTAGAACAAATATTTTAAGTGTTCTGTTTCTTAGGAATGACTTGGTGTAATGATTCACAAATATGTGAAAAGTTCACTTCAAATACATTTGTAAAGAACAAGAATGCGACTCATCATTGTTGTCTTTGTAATTTGCGTTCAATATTTAGGTTTTAGATGTTACTTTATGAATACATTTCTAGATTCAGATTTTGGATTATAGTGTATGAGTTCATCAGGTTAGGTTTAAATCGTATTAGTTCTACCGTTTTATTGATAAATTGATCGAATATATCGTATGAACATTGACTCACATAGGGTTCAAACTCGAACCCCTAAACACCGTAGGGTTCAGACCCAAATCCCTAATAACATAGGTTTCAAACCCGAACCCCTAAATAACACAGGGTTCAAATCCTAAACCCTAAATCATAGTGTTTAACAAGTTTGAGTTTAGTGTCTACTAAGTTTTATATTAGTTCTTTAAGAAATTAAAGTTTATGTTTAACACGTTATAGTCTATTGTTTAACAAGAACAAATGTTTTCGATGAATCACAGAGTTTTGGGTTCTTAGAGTTTAGTGTTCTTGTACATATTAGAGTTTAGTGTCTTGCAAAATACAATGAAGTTTCTTTATCAACAGAAAATCTCCATCCTTTATTTGGGATTAAATTTCAACTACCCATAAGAAGCATAAATATGCATCTTATCCAACAAGAGAATAAAAAATTTGGATGTTTTCAAAAAGAATTCGTCAAGAACATGGGATGAACAAAGAAGAACTCGTTTAAAAGTAACTTAAGAAACACATAAAATTTGAAAATAATGATTTTTAATATTCTCTTAACAAATTTTGGAGAGATTTAAAGAATATTTAAATTACGAATTTGACATAACATACATTCTGACGTGCGTAGACTATGTAATTTTGCCGTGGTAGAATATAGTATTTTGGTATATAATGCAATTACACTGTCGTAGAATATTTGTATATAGGCAGATTTTATGATTTCGTGATAGTAGATATAATAGTAAATAGTAGTTCTCGAAATCTACCGTAGTTCAGAATAAAGGGAAATTTGCAGCCAGTTTATTTTGCGGTGATAGAATATTGACCATTAAGTAGATATTGCAGTCTATATGCTGTAGATATCTATGTACTTGTCTGAAACTACAATCTATGAAGTCGTAGACAGTAGATTGTGTTCTCTGGTTTCGTAGATCAAAAAATGAAATTGTGTTTTTCAATTATTTAGTTAACCAAAATATTTTTTCTTAAGATTGTTTCTTGTTTATATACATTATGTACATTTTCCATATTTTCTCATTTTTAAAATAATTTATATGCATTTTTAAAGTATGCCAAGAGTATCGTTGGTCCAAAATTGATCAAAAAGAAATTTATGGTAAAAGAACAATGCAGTTGTTCTTTGGTTATGTTTTAAGCAGTTTTCTCTAGAAAATGATATAAAATCATTACTCGTTTTTTAAATGATGTAATATATGTGGATTATATCAAGTCAGCTAATAGCCTTGCAAATCTATTTACCAAATGTTTAACTTGAGATCAAGTTTTGAAATTATCAAAGGGAATGAGTATTCAAATGGCTAAAACGACTTAAAATTAAAATACAAATAAAAATTGTTTAGAAGCATAGATAGTAGTATAAAAAATATATATTGTTGCTTTGAAATATATATAGTGATATTCTTCTTTCATTAATGTATTTTTAGTAGTTTCATTAACATGTATAGTAGTGTTCTTTTTTCATTAACTAGCTACATCAATGAAATTAATGAAATTACTACTATACATGTTAATGAAAAATAACACACTACTATATATGTTAATGAAATTACTAAAACGATATTAATGAAAAAAGAATATTATTATCTATGTTTCCAAACAATAATATTTTTTTATACTAATATTTATTTTTTTAATAATTTATATTTATATTTGAGTTTTAATAATATACATAGAAGATAGATTCCTTAACTAGTCATTGCTATTTGATCGGTTTTGTTTCGTAAAATTTAATCAGGATAGTCGTAGTCATACAATTATGACATACTGTACATTGAAGTGACGACCTCTAGTTGAATGATACAAAATCATTCCCAACTATAACATGACATATTTTTTTATTTTGTTGCCAGTGATTACATGCATTGATTTTTGTTAAAACGTTAATTTAACACAAATTTAAATGAATTTATTATATAAATGAAAAAAATCAATGATTTTTGTTACATTGTAAACTGTTTTAAATGAACTTCTATAGTAAAAAAAAAAAATAACAGAGAATAAATTGGTTCTACTAATTCTTGATTTCCTCCAATTTTGTCCTCCATCATTCTGCGGTAAGTAAGGAAATATTCTTACCTAGAAGTCTACAAAATCTGAAAAGTATAACAAATAAAAGAAACGAAAGAAGAAATAACTTCTTTTGAAGTTAGACCAAAGTGGCCACCTTAACGAGTCCAGTAGGTAAGGTTCCTTAGTGACCCGGTCCGCTCGGGCTGGGACCGGATTGCTTAACATATACAAGCGGCGCACTTCGATCCACGAATTTATGACCCTCACCACCGGAGCTAGGACCAGATTCCTTGATCGCTCCAAGTGATAAACCATCAAAGAACTTAGCCAGTAGCTTTTCCTCAGCCTTCGTTAAACCCAACGGACGAGACTCCACTACAAGAATTGAACCCACCAACATGAAAAACAGGATCGAACCCAGAACAACTTTGTTCATCATGATTTTCTTTTAGAGGCTTCTGAGTATTTTTTTGTATATATGTTTTCACTAGTCAATATGGATATGATGAAATTTGTTGTGAAGAGTTTGTGGACTTGGAGTTGGATTATATAGTGGTGTGGAGAGCCTTGAAGGAGAAGAAAAGTATGCATTTTTTAGTTTTGACTTCATAAGTTTAGAATTCAACAGAGCGCTACTTCCTGGGAAGACACCGAGGTTGCTTCTTGCCTTATTTTTCAAATGATAATATAACTTTCAAGAATAGAAAAGCCATCAAGGAGGAATGGAACTTGGTTTTTTATCCTGGCTGAAGAAACAATTTGATTTTTCTCTCTGATTGTTTGTAGCAGACTTTTAGTTGTAGATCATATAAAAGATGTTTGGAAGTCAAATCTAGTGTATATTACTTTATGTTATCTTTCGCCGATAATATTTTATTATTTATTATTGTATTGTAGAGTATTAAGCAACAAAAGCTCCTTAAAACTCATGCCTTTAGCTAGGGGTGGGCACGGATCGGATATCCGGGTTTTTAAAGGTATTTGTGATTTGCTTCGAATGTTACGGATATCTAATTTTAGTATTTGCTTTGCTTCGAAAAAATACGGATATCCGGAAAAACGGATATCCGGAAAATAAATAGATATTTGCGGATATTTACGAATATTTACGGATATCTCATCCATTTTGATTATTACAAATAATCTTAAGATTTTGATACAAATTTGCTTTGCAAAATTATTTTTTTGCATGATATATAAAATAAATATTAATAGAACTAGTGAATTTACATATTTTGTAATTTTTTAAGTTTAAGTTACAATTATAATAACACGAAATTTAAGAAAAAAATATTATTGTCATAAATTTTTTTTCTCTTTTATGTAATACTTTTATATAAGTAATAATGTGAATAGATTTGTTCAAAATCATGTGCTAGAATAATAATTATATAATTTTATACATTTAAAATTTTAAATATAATCAAGATATACATATATTTATATATTTCCGGATCGGATCGGATATCCGCTTCTCAAAATTTTAATATTTGTGATTTGCTTCGATTTTAACGGATATTGAAATTTAATATTTGCTTTGCTTCGAACGTTTACGGATATCCGGATTTTTCGGATCGAATCGAAACGAATAACGAATCGAATCAAATATAACGGATAAAATGCCCAGCCCTACCTTTAGCCGATGACTTCCTGAAAACAGATTTGGGAACAACCGAACAAAGATACTCGGTATTCATCTTTCATTTACTGTTCCAGATGTAGGAAATGGTCAGAACTGGAGCATCCCTCCTCTGAATTCAGTTGGTCCAGATATCTAATTATGGAAACACTCATCTACAAAGCTCCTCCATAAGACCAAGCTAGGGGGTTGAATGACATCGGATGATATGGTTTTACTTGCTATATATACCATCACCACTTTCATATCTTGGCTATAAATTTCCAATAAACTTGCTATGGGTGATCGTAGTACACAATTAGGATTGTATTAGCCGCATATTTTTTGTTTCTGAAAGTGACGCATTTTAACAAATCATCCAAATATAATGATCCTTAGCACATTTGAGGTTTCCTCATTTAGATGTACTATTTATATTTGATTAATATTTCAGGTTAAACTTAAAGGCTAAAAAGTTAAAGTTTCAAATCAACACTTGACGAACCCAGAACTGAGAAACACCAGATATGATAAAAAAAATCCATTTTTGTTGTAAACTAATGAGAGAGATTGTGTAAAGTGTTGTGTTACTATTGATAAATCATCAGCTCCCTTTATATAAGGGTTATAAGAGATAAATAAATTGTAAGTATCCAAAACCTAAACTAATTAAGATTAGGAAATAGTACAAATACATGGAAGAGGAAAACTGAGCCTTGTGACCACCTATGATCTATATGATTGAATGGGCCTTATCTAATACTTGGTTATGGGCCATCCACTATAAAGATTATAACACTCCATCTTGGATGCCATAACCATTCAAGGTTTGCTACATGCTTAAAATTACCTCATTAAAACATTTACCAGGAAAATCCAATTGGGACAAAACCATGATAAAAGAAAGAGTACAATACACATTACTCCCCCTGATGAATGCAACACTGCAAGTCTTTCAGTCGACGCATTCCAATCTTATAAATGAGCTTCTTGAACGTCGAGGTCGGTAGAGACTTGGTGAAAAGGCCGGCTGAGTTGTCACTGGACCGTACTTGAACCACTTGAACTTCTTTAGCCTCTTTCATATCGTGGGTGAAGAAGAACTTGGGCAATATATGCTTCGTCCTATCTCTTTTTATGTATCCATCTTTGAGTTGAGCTATACATGCTGCATTGTCTTCATAAATCTACACGGTTGGTTCATGTCTTCCCACGGCCAAACCACTATCTACACGGATGTGGTTGGTCATAGACCTCAACCATACAAGCTCACGGCTTGCCTCATGCATTGCTAGGATCTCCGCATGGTTGGACGATGTGGCAACAAAAGTCTATTTCATGGACCGCCAACAAACTGCAGTTCAACCATGTGTAAAAACATATCTGGTCTGAGATCTAGCATTATGTGGAGCAGATAAATATCCTGCATCAGAATATCCAACCAAACTTTCTTTGGACTGATTGGTAAAGAACAAACCAAGATCTTTGGTTCCTTTCAGGTAACTTAGTATGTGTGTAATCTCGTTCCAGTGCCTTTGAGTTGGACAAGAGCTAAATCTAGAAAGTAGATTCACGGCAAAACAAATGTCTGGTATAGTGTGGCTAGCTAGATACATTAAAGCTCTAATGGAACTTAGGTATGACACTTCCGAAAAAGGACTTCCTCATCCTTCTGCTTTGGTTGGAACAGATCCGTCTCTGGGCTAAGAGACCTTACGACCATTGGACTCGACAAAGGGTGATCCTGGTCCATACTAAACTTCTTGAGTACCTTTTCTATATATGCCATTTGATGCACAAGGATCCATTGTTTAGGTACTTAAGCTGTAATCCCAAACAAAACTTTGTTTTTTTCTAAGTCTTTCATCTCAAACTCTTTCTTGAGATATTCAACTGTTTGGGAAATCTCTCCAGAGGTTCCTATGATGTTCAGGTCATCCACGTATATGCTATGATTACTAATCCCTTATTTTCGAATTTCTTGATAAAGATACATGGACTTATTGAATCATTCTTATAGCCCTCTTTCACTAGGTACTCACTTAGTCTATTGTACCACATTGGACCTGATTGTTTTAATCTATACAAGGATTTATTCAGCTTTATGCAATGCTGTTCTCGAGAACCTTTCTTATCTTTGAGCTCAATACCCTCTGGAACTTTCATGTGAATCTCATTATCCAGTGGAAAATATAAATATGCAGTTACTACATCCATTAGGCGTAAATCCAAATTTTCTTTCATGGCTAGACTAATTAAAAATCGGAATGTAATTGCATCCACCACAGAGGAGTAAGTCTCCTCATAGTCTATTCTTGGTCTCTGTGAGAATCCTTGTGCAACAAGCCGTGCTTTATATCTCACTACTTCTCTTTTCTCATTTCTTTTCCTCACAAAGACTCATTTGTGTTCCACTGGTTTGACATCACTTGGTGTCAAGATTATAGGGCCAAAAACGCCTCTTTCTTTAATGATTCTAACTCCACGTTTATAGCTTCTTTCCATTTGATCCAATATGATTGTTGAGTGCTGCACTCATATATGGATGTGGTTCTTGATCCTTGTGGGAGTCGATTTCACCCTACTGTCAATAAATCGTAAAAAAGGAAACTTCGGGAAAACCCTAAGTTTCCAGAGGAACCGGCTATCTGCGAGAACCGCACAACAAAGATTAAGATGACTAAAACACTTAGAATTAAAACGAAAATAAGAGAGATTGAAAGCAATAAGGTTCTTATTCCGAATCTGCGTAGAACTGGTA